GCGGGCCGTGGGAAGACGCTGCGCGGGTTGGGCCGCGAGTTGGGCTTGCGCGCGATGCTTGTGCCGCGAGTTTGGGAGCGGACGAAGTTGTGCGCGAGGTGGGCCTTGGAGATCGTCCGCGAGTTGGACAGGCGGTGAGGTGGGCCGCGAGTTGTCCGAGAGCCCACTTTGCGCGTTGCTGTTGAGGCGAGTCAGAGTGAATAAATAGGGCGCGCTGCGCTTTTAGTAATAACAAAGCGCTTTAGTCCGCTGGTTAACTTGTACGTCTGGTGGAGAAGTGGCATTGGTTCGAGTACTAGCGGCGATGACATTTTTTGACGCGGGAGTGGAGCAAGGATGGGCTGGAGGAAGGTGGCTTCTTGGGAACTTCGCCTGTCTCTTCCCTCTGACAGGAAGAAGGATGGGCTGGAGGAAGGTGGCTTCTTGGGAACTTCACTTGTCTCTTCCCTCTGACAGGAGAGAAGGTGGCTTTGCTTTTTTTTTTTTTAACTGTTGAGGTGACTGAATAGAAGTACTGATGTTGACTGGAGAGTGGCTCTTCTTTCTTTTTCGTCAGGTCGCCGGTGCCGCCCCTTTCTCCGGCGGTCGGAATCTGTGGGAGCTTTTATTTCAATCTCTCCCAGTCCCAGCTGGAGTAGTGGGAGATCCTTCCCCCTCGAAGAAGAAACAAAAACGTACATCCATGGAGGACGACCTCTCCCGGCTGGGAGCTGCTGGCTCGGAGGTGGTGCGGTGGCTCCTCTTTAGTCCTCTCTCCTTCCGCGAACGAACGAACGATAATGATTGTTGGTGTGGGGTTGACTCATGATCCGTTCGTCTGATCTCGTCGGGAGGGAAGAAACCTGTGAAAAGTGCCGGGGTTGCCCCCCGGATTAAGCTCCGACGATCAAGTTAGTGTAAGTTTGTGGAGAGAGTTGAGAGAATAGATAGAGAGATAAAGTGTAGAGAGATAGTAGAAAGTGGAAAAGTGAGGAGAGAGGAGAAGTCCCCCTCAATGGGGAGTTTCATGCCTTTAAATACTTCGTAGTGGCGTTCGTCCGGAGCACGTTACCGATTGAGCGCGCCCTTATTTAGTCCGCGCGTGGAGTATTTAGTAACACCCCCAACATTATACATTCGAATTATGTGCATATTGCAAATGAGCATTTTGTAAAAAAAAAAGGACAATAAATCTGAAATATATTCCACAAATACATTGTAAAATCTTAACATTTTTTCGTTTTGGATCTAGACTCGTACAGTTTTGGTTTTGTGGTACATGTCAAAACAACTCCCATAAGTTCACTCATTTATGCAGTTTTCCACAGTGAGCATGTTTAACTTTATAGTTCTTACAAGAATTCATTCATTTCACCCCAAAATGCATTATGTCAGTTAAGGTAGGTTTCTACTTATGAATCATGGATTTCTTCCGTGCCTTTGTGGAATTTGCCTAAAGTGTTACATACATCCCCTTTGGGACTCAACGTCCTCATTAAGGTTTGCCCTGCTACCGTTCACGAGGGATGCATAGAGGCTATGATACCACTATGTAACATCTCGAACTTTTTCCTGACAAGATATTGTCTTTGTTAGATCTAGACCCGCACGGTTTTTGCCTCGGAGTGCATATCAATGTGACTTTCTATAAAGTCATCCATCCTTGCAATGCTACACTGTGACTACATTTAATTTCAGAGTTATTACAAAAATTCGATCATTTCACTGCAAAATGCATCTTGTCTTGTCAATTAAGATCAATTTCTTACTTATAAATCATGATATTTTTTTTTTCGAGGTCCATTACATATATCATCCGACATCCAAGGTTACAAACGACCTCTAAGTTGATTTTTTTTTTTACCATCTAGGTTAAAGTTTTAAAGCCTCCTCCGCTTGCTACACCTTTTCTTGTATATTAACCTTAAAAAGCAGTTAGTAAAGCTGCATCATAAAAGTGACTTCTCTTGTGGGTGATCATTTTGTTCTTCTCGTTAAAACAAAAGCCGTTTGCTAAAAGTGCAAAGTGAACAAAAGTGAATGATAAACAGAGGCTGCAGTTGAAAGAATGGTAAATGACACACAAACCCTTCTCTTCCTTTTTTTTTGTTAATAAATTCGACAATCAACAACTTTACCCTATTGAAAATCATGCACAATACTAGAAAATTGGTAGAGTTTGTTTGCTTCAGCTTTTTGGATGAGTAATTTGATACTAAATAATTCAATTGAGTAATTTGGTAGGAATTTTGATTCCAACAGAAAGGAAATGACTTAATTATTTAGTAATAAATGAATTAGTTGTCAAAGATAAATACAATTTATTAGTCAAACCTTTCAAAAAATTTTAATTATTATCCCAATCTCTTAAAATACAAAACATTATCCAAATCTTTTGTAATGCATCAAAATTGTAGTCATTTTTTTATTACCGTTAGTAATTTTGTAACTTTTTTCTTAGTGAAAATACTAAAATTTTAGAATATTGACCTCCACGTGTCTCTTCCAAGTCAGTATCATGTTGCCAAGTAAATATTACTAATAAAATGACTAACGAGAAGTTAACATTTGGCTAAGATTTGGTATTTTGAAATGTTTGGCTAATAATTTAAAAAGTTTGAAAGATTTGGTTAATACCCTAAATCAAATACTAACTATATTGGTTGTAAAATTATATACTATGAAACACCTACCTACTCGGATAATCGATCTCCTACTTCACGATAGTATATCAACCTAATTGAATTTCTCTCTTATAGATCAAAGCATAAATCAATAATCTCGATGAAAGAAGAATTTTTCCATAAAACATGTATAGCTTGGATATGAACTCAAGTTTATCAAGTAAGAGTACTCATACAATCATCAAATCAAACAAAACATGACTAGGGTTACTTTATAGGGAGGAGAGAGAATACATAAATTAGCTATTGTTCTTCAATCCTTCCAACCTTTGTTCCTCGAGCTCTAATTGTAAAGAAATCATTCAATTTTTCTCCAAGATCGCCCCTGTATTGCTTTCTGTGTCTAGGGTTCATCACTTGTGTGTTTGGGATTTCAAAATCCCGCTCTCTATTCCCAGAATCGCAGAAACCCTTTCATATCAGAAGTGTGAAGAGGGGGTGATGGCGTCGGGTGCAGGCAAAGAGGCGAGGCGCCGATGAGGTCGCGGTTGAGCGGCGACGTCGCCAGTGGAAGGCGAGGTTGGGTTTCTTCTTATTGTTACGCCGCTGCAATCGGGGTGGTGAGGCGTTTGGGAGACGAGAGGGAGAGATGCATGGAGAAGGCCGAAGTTGGGGTAAGGGTTAGGTTGAGTCGATTGGGGTTAGGGACGGGCTAAGATCTGGTGACTAGGTGGGTCCCTTAGTCACATGGCTAAGTGAATCTCAGCCCTTCCACCTCATTAAAATTCAAGGGCTCCAATTAATTCAACCCGATTCTTTTTCCATTTTGTATGGTTTGTCGGTCTAGTTTGTAATTTTTGTCCACCATTTTTGTAATGTTTGTATGTCTAAAAAACAACCGGGTTGACTTTGCGACGGTGCCCCTCTATATAGGGATGGAGCCTCCAAAGTCAACCTGGTTGTTTTCCATTTTTTATATTTGTAATGTTTGTCGGTCTAGTTTGTATTGTTTGTATAGTTATACGTTTTGTATTATTTGTAAATGTGTTTGTATGTTTTGTCGCTCTAGTATGTATTGTTAGTATGATTGTATGGTTTATACTGTTTGTAAGGTCGGTTTGTATACTTCGTAATTTTCCATAATACTCAAACTACCCCTGTCATTAATTAAAAAGACCTTCCCACTTTTAATCGTCAGAATGGTGTGTACAGATTTAAGGGTTGAGAGGGGTTTAGTCAAATGACTAAGCATAGTCACAGGATCCGGCCTCGTTAGGGACTTAAGGGTCATTTTGGGGGGTTGGGGAGTTGTTTTTGGGGAAGGGACTGCGCCACTACGGGGTTGTTTTGGAGGGTTGGAGAGAGGGCCGATTAGTTGGCTAATCGACCCTCTCCCCAGCCTTCTGACAATCGACCACCTCCAATTTGTAGCGGTTTTCAGCTAATTTGAAATGGTTAACTACTAACCAAAAACTGTTCGTCCACCCCTAGATAAAAGTATCATTAGTAAATACTCCGTTTAATACACATATATGTACCCGTACGTATTTTATCCATTTAAAACTTTCATGTTCGTATTATTATCAAGTCGTTTCATTTTTTCTCGATTATATAATGACTCTCGTACTAAACACGTATAAAAACCGGATAACACGTTTAATATCCATATTTAATGAATTACATTGTTAACTTTAATATTATATATATATATATTTATTTATTTTAAAATAATTAATTTTATATATTTATGACTATTAACGTACTATTAAACGTAACATTAGCTTATATACGAAGTAAAATATCAGTACGTATTTTATACGTAATTTTCTCGTACCGATAAAATTACTAGTTTTGATTTTTGAATGTTAGAATTCTGATTTAACACTCATACTCAATGTTGTCAGAACCGAACCGGAGCATGAACCAGTAATGCGAACGGCTCGCACTTTAGTGGTCCAACCGGCATTAGACCGTTTAAAAACCGTTAAAGAACCGGTACCTAATAAACGTTATCAGTATAAATAGTGGACATTTCTTAATCAGAGCTCATCTCTTTCCTTCGAAATTGTGAAATGGAAATAAGGATTCAGTTTAAGAGGCCGACGTTTTTGGTTTATTTCAATTTTCAATTTTCTGCAATTTTTTTAAATTAAATTTAGTGCCTGAGTGGCAAAAACCGGACGAGCGGCTCAATCGGATCGAACGGTTAACCGCCTCGACCGCTCTTCAACCACTACATAAAATCGGAACGGCTTTTAGACGGTTCCGAATCGATTTTATGACCGGGTGACGATTTTATCGATCGGGCCGAACGGCTTGGCTCGGGTTTAATAACACTGCTCATACTGTTAATCAAAATTTACCGTTAACTTCATGGAACGCTCAAAAGTCGGAACACCTAAATTTACAGCAACAAAGAACAGTTATATCAGGCTAATGATCCAATCAAGTTCCCCGAATCTCTATCCAGAACCAACGGCCAGGATCAAACCGTCGCAGAGAAACCAGGACCGCCTTGTCATCCTATCATTCAATTGTAGGCCCCACCAAGCAGCAGCATCTTCTTTCGCTAAATCCCATTCTCAGGATTTATAGGGAACGCCTCTCGTCCTCCTCTCTCTCTCTCTCTCTCTCTGCCGCTCTTTCCGCAACAAACCAAAACCAAATCCCCAAAACCTTCTTTCCATTTTCCCAGAAACCAAACACCACCACTGCACAATGTCCGGCACCGGCAAGAAAAAATTAGTTTTCAGCTCCGTTGCCGTCGACCTGGGCTGCGGCGCCGGCAGCTGCAGGAAGCCCAAGAAGCTCCTGTCCTCCATTTTCCACCCAAAACCCAAACCCACCACCTACCGCAAGCACCACAATTACAAAAACCCCTATTTCTCCACAACCGCCGCCGCCGCCGCCGCCACGACGAGGTCGCCGTATTCCTACTACCCCTCTTCCTCCACGTCGCCGTACGACAGCAGCATTCCCACCACGGCGGCGACCTTCTCCCCCGCCGCGGCGGCGGACGACGACGAAGACGAATCGTGCGGGAGGACTGTGAGAGGGTTTGGCCGGTTGGGCGGGGAGAGCGTGGCGGTGGAGAAGGACTCCGACGACCCGTACCTCGACTTCCGGCAGTCGATGCTGCAGATGATCCTGGAGAAGCAGATTTACTCGCGGGACGATCTCAGGGAGCTCCTCAACTGCTTCCTCCAGCTCAATTCGCCGTACCACCACGGCATCATCGTCCGTGCCTTCTCCGAGATCTGGAACGGGGTTTTCTCCTCCTCCACGTCGGCAAAGTCTCCGGTCGCCGGAGGGAGTGGTTTGGCGTCGAAGCCGTCGCCGACGCAGGGGTGGGGGCATTATGGTAATTACGGTTACTACCACCACGGATGGAATTAAATTGGAAGGCGAAGGGAAAGGTCAGAAATGTTTTCACGTGAAGGTTTGGAGTAACACGTGAAGCTGTAGAAGCTATGATATGCAGTGGGTTGGAAGTATCAGTATTTCTTATTAGAAATTAATCAGTAGCATTTTGTTTTTTTTTTTTGTTTTTTTTTTGCCTTATTCGTATTTTGTAGAAGTTCGACTTTGTTTTTTTCTCCTTTATTTGTATTTAGGGAACTTTTTATTTTACTAGTTTGGTTGTTAATGTTGATGTAATATCGTTAAGGATGTCAGTTCTCCGTCGTTGAATCAAAATATGTTCGATTCAACGATTGAGAACTGATACAATGAGACGCTATGATGTTAGTATAAGTGGAAATACCACTTCTTTTCCTAGTAGTGTTGAAGTAGGAGCGTGGGGAAAGGGTTGGTATCAGTCTGTAGTCTTTGCCTTTTTCCAGTTGTTCCCTTTTGTGGTAATAGTACTAGTGCTGGTGTCTCGGTGTATTTTTCTTCAGCGGAAAAGCTAAGATTTGTTTCCTTAGGGTGTAGTTTTCTAAAGGACACAACTAGTGTAAGTTCCAATGGATTCTAAAGACTAAAAAGTGTACACTAGTTTGCGTAATAACCTTAGTTCTACTACATGTAAAAGATGTGGACAACTCGTGGCTCCCAGTCTCTAGCATGAAGCACTAGGAAGGCAAGCACAATGCTCAAATTCTAGTGGTCGACTGCGGCAGCAGGAGAGAAGATATCGGAGAAGGTAACCCATCGATTTGTACAAATAAGTGATATATGATTTAAAATACTAAGAATAATCGGCTTTTACGGGGATCTACAGTATAAGGTACAATTGAGCTGGATTGAGAGAACCAGATTAGATGATAGACACATACAAATAAGATAAATGACTTCAATTATTAAGCAGGGCGTTAAGGAGCTCTATTGTGTAAAGCACAATGGCGCGATGTATTGGATATCAACCTGATGCTTATAAGTTATAAGTAGTCAAATTTACATGTTGAAGCTAATATGAAATCATATAATAGAATATCGTGGAGCAATAATAGAACAAGTTTGAAGATATGACAACTTTAGTTGGCTAATTCACTCAACCCTAAGCGAATTAGAGGTAGTAATTACCCTTTTTTTTATACAAACCAAAATATAATTGTATGATAATTCTATTAAACTCTTTCAAGTTTAGTGTCGAATTCGTTAATTACAAAACCCCCATAGTAATTATATTAGATAATTAAACCCCCCAAAAAATTGCAGATTGGTGCAGGGAAGAATAATCTGTGGCCTGTTGGGATTGTTTTTTGGGTGGGTCTGGCCCAGATGGAATAGAAGGAAGGAGGTGGTCAAAGTGATCAGAGGGGCTCAGGTTTTGAAAAGAGAGAAACTAACCCCACCCCCACTGCTGCTTGGGTGGTAAAAGATAGGAGCCACAGTGTGCCTTGGGATTTGACAACCTAACTAGTTAATTAGTTAATCTCTCAAGTCTCAATCAAAGCAGCTTTGTTTAATATAAACTCCCTTCTTAATTGCCTTATTTATTTTGTTAAATAAAGTTGAGATTTTGGCAACCGTGCCATTACCCCCAAATATTTTTTTATATGAAAATCGTGACCCGAACAGGGAAGACGACTATGCTATTGCTAATGCAAAAGCTAGCTCGTGGGGGGAGAATGATGGCCCATGCATTTCCTTAATTGTTTAATCAGCTGAAAGGTGTAATAATTATCAAAGATCCTTTGCTTACAAAATCTCTCCTCCATGACCACGCAAGTTATAGCTCCAGCTTTCAGTCTAGGGATTCTTGTGCTCGATTGATATTCATAAAAAGTATGACCTGACCGGGAAAAAAAATATGTTGTGAAAGAGATGGACTATCTAAGCTCAATAGTTGACTCACAAAAACACAACGCTCCTCACAATAGCCACATATAACCACTGGAAGGTACGACAGCAAAGTGAGTTCAATTTATTTTATCAATTCGGGTCCTAGATGTACTGTTTACTCAGTGAATTCTTTATTATTTAGCGATCAAGTTGTAGTGAAGTTGTTCGCAGACAAAACGGAAAATTAAGCAAGTACATTGCTCCTCGATAGCCTGGAGGCAGTGGAGCGACTCAAAATACTCGAGGTTGAGCCGATAGTGAAGTCCAATGCCCCCTTGCCTCCATTTGTCGAAAGCCTCATTGTATTCGATGCTAAGGTTCAGATTATGTAGATAAGAATGATCTGGATCGATATGTGCACAGAGAAACACCCAACAACACCACTCCAGGCTTGTTAGCACAACAATTTGGGGAATAAGGAACTTCTCTCACACTTAAGCAGGCCTAACAAACGCTGCTGAATGCAGCAAGCATGCAACTCAAACATTAGGAGTATCAAGCACAAAATCAATACCATGCAAAACAAGCAAAGTGACCACAGGTTAACAAGTAGCCACTTTGCTTGTTTTAATTAGCTAGGGGCTTGAGATGTGAATGCCTTGAACTTGTTAACCTGTGTTAGGCGAATCCGCATCTTAGTTTTCAATACCAAACCACCTAAAAGGACCAAAAATAACAATGTTCGACTCATAAACAAAAACAAGAAGACAACTGGGAAAATGAGATGCAAATCGTAATCGGGTTGTCTCCCCACAAGCGCTTCTTTCCCGTCTTTTAGCGGAGTCCCAGGTTCAGATGATTTATGTGATACACCTCCTTGACATTCAAAATTTCAATACCCAAATTTGATTTATTTACTGCCGCATCTGGCGCTTTAATTACAGAAATAGCATGGACAATGTAGTGAAAAGTGTGATTTTACGTAGAAACATTTTGGTGATCTAAAAGCATAAAAGCAAAAAAAAAAACTTGTGCTTTAAAGCAGAATTTAGATTAGTAAGGGAAAAGCATGATTCTATGAAAGCATTTAGAAGACCAAGTCATTTAGAAGACCAGTGGTCAGTGGACCATTCAAACTGGGATGGTCTTTTAGTTTCATGTCAAACCGCTAATAACTATCTATCATCTATGATCTGTCTTATATTTAGAGGTGTCAATCGGTCAGGTTCGGGCTGGTTCAAGTTGGGTTGAATTAGGTAACGGGTTATGGGTTCATCGGGTTACAGATCAATTAGATTGCAGGTCAATCAAGTTATGGGTTAATCCTGTTATAGGTAAATTATAGCTATCGACCAATCAAGTTGCGGTCAATCGATTTACGACTTACGAGTTCATCGGGTCACGGGTCGCTCAGGTTGTGGGTTGTCGAGTCAATTTAGTTACTACTCAATTAGTTATTTCGTTAGTTTAAGATATACCCCAAAAATGTACAATTTAGCTATTCTGTTAATTTTAGATGTACGCAAAAATGTGCACTTTCTGGCAAATTTCTTTCTAATTCATGTAGGTACTTATGAACTAAAGTATCAAATCATTATATTTTACATTGAGTTATTGTAATTGATGCGAATATGTTAACCACTTTCAATCTCGGGTTGGATTGAGCAGATAGCGAGTTAGGCGGTTGGGTCAGAGGGTTAAATGAATCACAACCTATCGAATGTAGACTTGTCACTTTATTGTAATATCCATATTGGACAATGCCTTATATATTTAATATTAAACTCTTAACCCATTAATATGTAAAAATTGTGATAAAGCATATTGATAAATAATTAAGTATGATCTATAATGTAAAATTGTTGTATTTGAGATAGTTCGAGCGACATTATTAAGATAAGACAAGTAGATGACTCATGATATGTTCTCAAACATACTATGTTGAATTACTCATGCCCTATAAGGCTATAATAAGATTTACTATAGACAATGTCTTAGTCACTAAATGTTATAAACTCATAAAGCATCACTATGAACATTGTGATAATCAAATTGATAAATAATTTAGTATGTGATCTATAGTGTAAAATAACCTGCATTTGAAATAGTTCGAGTGATTATTGTATTGAAGATGAAATAACTCAAATCTAATATAGTCGACTAGTCATTCCATATAAGACTATGATATAGTCAATTAGCCATGTCCTCCACATAAAAATTTAAAATTCAAATTTTGAAGACTAGTGGGCTAGTCATTCCATAAAGCACCAAAACTTTTCCTTCTTTATTTTCTCAAAACTTGGAAAACACCAAAACTTCCTCCTTTCTCTTCTAACAAACTAAAAGTAACAAAATTTTCCTCTTGTTTCTCTTCCAAAAACCTGAAAGGGTCGTTTCTTTGGGGACATCCGATTAAAAATTGAAAGCATCTTATAACTCATTCTTTCTTTAATTCACAAATCAAAAGCACCAAACTCTTCCATTTTTTTTCTTTTCCCATGGGTAAATTCCCAAAATAATGTTTTTTTTTTAAATTTACCATCAATATGGCAATTTTAAAAGTATTGACATGTATATTGTGTTTTGGAGAGCAAAACCGTCGAGACCGCGTGAGACGCAGGAGAAGCCGCTTTGTTGTCTTTTTAAAAACAAAAGTGGCGGCCCCGCCTGAGTGTCAGGCGGAGGCGCTTTATTATTATTATTTTTAATTTCTAGGCGACCCCGCCAGAGACTGAGACATGTTTGGTAGCTGGTCTGCAAAGATTCCCGAAATCATTGACCAGTGGAGGCGCTCCAGTCTGGGGCGAGTTCGCTGGCTTGCCCCCACCCCACTCCACTATAATAGAAGCCACTTCCTTTCAGTTGCTCACCACAAAAAATCGATGTTATAAAGCTAAACGAGAGGAGCTCTGGTGGTTGCTGCAAAGATGGCTAATAGGTAAGCGACACATTTATTTTTTTAATTATATTATTAAAATGCTATTATGATTTTGTTTAGTAAGTAATTAGTGAATTTGTTCTATGTAGTAATTTTAGAAGATCTGAACTAGTCTTTCGGTGGAAATCGGAAAGTAGAGGACAATTTGGGGGTCCATTTCGTTGGTGGTAAAAGTTTTCAGTTGACGGTTCCATCCAGGGTGACATATCACAAACTTTGTGAGAATCTAATTCCGAGAATACGGCGTAAAGATGAAGCAGTACAAGATAGTGATGTGATCACAGGTTTCACTTACTGTCTTCCAGAATGGCAGAGTGGTGTTTTATTTTATTATGCAATGCCTATTGTGGATGATGATAACTTGAATGTGCTTTTCGATTTTATGGCACAAAATCGTTATTGTTTGGGTGTTGAGATACATGCTGAGCTCGGTGAGGATCGGGGTGGAGAGGAAGAAGATGAGACATGGAGCGTGTCATCCGATCATGATGACAGAGAGGAGGAAGATGAGGAGGAGGGACATGGGGAAGGAGAGCAGCCTAATTACCGTCCATATTTTTACTTGCAGGGTAATGAAGAGGACAACAAATTATCATATGCTAACTCATAAACAAGGGGACAGATATTTCACTCAAAACAAGCTGCACAGGTGGCAATTAAATACCACGCACTATAATGCAACTTTAAGTATGGCATAGTGGAGTCATCACATTGAATCTGGAAGGTCAGATGCTTGAAGCACAAGGATGACAATTGTCCTTGATGGTGCGGTTCGGATGTCGAGATGTTGGAAGCGAATGGACTGTGAGAAAGGCCGAGTTGGTGCATTCTTGT